CTCTCTCTCTCTCTGTGTGTGTGTGTGTGTGTGTGTATTTTAGCTTTGTTTTAGGATCCAAACATTTGCTAGAAACATAACCAGTCTTTATAGATTGGCTTTGTACAGGAGAGGATCCTTATCAAACAGCTAGCTAGACATTCTGAAGGACCTCGAAACCTTTTCTTTTTTAAATGGAATGCAACTTCTGTAAGTCTGTTTCTGTTTTCCCTTTCTAACTTTCTGTCTCTCTGTTTCTGTATGTTTTTTTTTTTTTTTGAGACTGGATCTCATCACGTTGCCCAGGCTAGTCTCAAATTCCTGAACTCAAATGATACTCCCATCTCATCCTCTTAGTAGCTGGTGTTATGGGCATATCCCATTGCACCAGGCTTGTACACACAACTTCTCAATTAGAGAGATCTACTGTTTTCAAAAACTCCTTCCCTTTAGTGTACATCTATGGCCCTGCTTGTTCTCTGGTTCTGTAGTCACAGCTATTCAATTCATCCTGTTCTCAGCCTTCACTAATCATCCAAATTTTGTTTGCTCCCATCAGTGCCCTTAGGCAAGATAGATATTAGTCCTTCAGGTAGCCCTTCAAAAAAGTCAGAACACCAGTTGCATGCTCTACCGCTTTTCCTTTCTTTTTTGAGTGATGCCTCATACTGTGAACCTTTTTCTAATTACACTGAATTGTGCTATCCACAGCAAGATGCACCCTATTTTCTTTGTTCTTAGTGTCCCTCAGGCACCTAAACTATTCTAGGTCTGTCAGCACTCCAAATAAGACAAGATCAAAAACCAGTTCCTCAGGGAGTCCTCTGAAAAGTAAAAGCATCAGAGGCACACTTCACTCTTCTTCAAGGAAGAAGATGTGCATTCCTGGATCTATTTCATATCCACTTAGAGGATGGTCTGACATGAACAAAGTGAAATTTCTCCTTACCTATCTCAGCTGGCTGTTCCTGGCTTTGTGCTCACCCAGGTTTCTGCAACATCCTAACTGGATTCTGCAAGTCCTATAAAGGTATTTTGATCTGTAAATCATTGTTAAATTGGTGCTTATTTTGAGTAATATGAGGTGGAACTTGATACTATACCATCTTGCTTATGTAACTTTTCTGTTTCTTCTTCAAGATAACCAGGCATGGGTTTGATAGAACAGACTGAGGAAGGAGAAAAAAACTGTAATTTTCTCTTATTCCCTTATTCCCTGAAAGTTCCCTTCCTTCTGTATCTTCAAGGGTTTCTGACTATCAGTGGTTGGAATTATTGAGTTTCAGGGCCCATATGTTGATTGCATGTGTTGAACTCGGCCATGTGCAGATATAAGTGGTGAAAATGCAGGCTATAGGAAACTGCTTCTGTGTGCTCACTGTTTTGCTTTCTGCTGCCCCACGTTTGGATGATACAGGAAATTTATGTATTTTTTTCAAAGAGGTATATGATATTCCCTTGTGTATTAGGGCCAGAAAACAGAAGACAGGTGTAGTTCTTACTCCAATTAGCCATACAACTTTTAACTTTGAGTAAGCCTCATTTTTTTTTTCATTCTGTGAAGCAAGAAGACTGGACTAGATGGACATTTCTCTGTTATTTGTTATCAGAACTCTATGCAAATTACTCCTTTTATTGCTTGTTTATAGTATGTTGCTAATTGGTTAGAGCTTTTCAGTTTTTAAGCCCAATGTTTTATGGTAAAATGTCCACTTTTCACAAGGATAAAACTGCCATTCTCTCATTGCAAATGAGAAGGATTGAGAGAGAAAGAGGAGGAGTTGGAGAGGGAGCACAGGAAGGATAGAGATAAACACTGCCTGCTTGAGTGAACCTTTGTTCTCCTTCATCCCCAGTAAACTTTGGGGTTTTTCATCTCTTCCATGTTTTTTTTACCTTGAGGTGATTTAACTTGTACTTTTAATTTCTTTTCCTTTAATCAAAAATTACTTGTGCTTCTTGTTGTTATTTTATTGGAGATTGCTCAATAATTTTACCATTTAATTCAAGCCTTATAATACTTACTAAATGTGCATTGGTATATTACCCTACCCTACTTAGTTCAATTTGTAGTTCAATAAAAGTCCTAAGGGGTATGGGTATACTTAGCAGGGACTATGGCCAGGATGATTGGAATTTTTGTGGAGGTGGCAAGTATTTTAGCTCCCATGATTTCATGATGAATTTTTCTTTCTTTTTTTTTTTTAAATTTTAATATTTATTTTTTAGTTATCGGCGGATACAACATCTTCGTTTTGTATGTGGTGCTGAGGATCGAACCCGGGCCGCACGCATGCCAGGCGAGCGCGCTACCGCTTGAGCCACATCCCCAGCCCATGATGAATTTTTCTAATCCCACTTGAGCCCGATTCCTTTCTTTTCTGCCCCTCCAGCACTAGTATTCATCAATTTCCACCCACTGAGCTGAGAGCAAGGGTGAAACTTGGTAGATAGGCTAGAATTGGATAAAGTATTTCATAAAAGCTCATTAATTATTTAGAGAATCTATAGAAAACTTTGTATTCTATTTCTATATTAAAAGAGTCAAATTCTAATCTGAATTTAGGGTAACTTAAATTTTCAGGGATGTGTAAATCCCAAAACATAAATTTTCCCTGATATGAAATATGATGGAGCAATAGTTTTAAATAAGGAAATAACATTTTTTATTATGCATGAAAATTGATGTTTGGATATTCATAGGAAAAGTGAAATGAAAATATACAAATTAGAACATACAAACCTTGCTGTTAGTGTTTATAATTGGATCAAGATGCATCTGTAGTAATACCTAGTTAATTAATGCTAAAAGAAAACTTTTTATTATGAACATAGAAGGACATATGAATAGCATAGTCTAAACTCTTTTCTTTCTCTGAAATATTATGTGTAATAACTATAACCTAACTGCACATACTTTTATCTCTCTTAAGTGTGAGTGGAATTACTTGTGAGATAGAATAGTTGTACAACCACTTTAGGAAAGTATTTGGCACTGTTTACTAGGGCGAAGCACACACATACCCAATGAAGCAGCAACTTGACTCCTAAGTACTTTTCTGTGGAAAATTAAGCTCATATGTCCACCAAAAGATGTGTTCTGGAATGTGTGATCAGTTTTAGATTTGTAATAGTCAAACACTGAAAACAACTCAAAGACTTCCCACAGGAAAGTGGATGCATGCATCTTAGGACATTTCATACTACATAGCAACAAAAAAAGAATAAACTACTGAGAAGTATTGCATCATGGATGGTTTTAGACATTGTGCTGAGTAAAGCAAGTCAGATATCCTGGTTTGTTTCCCCCCCTCCCGCCATGAATCTGAGGCCTGTGGCTGCACAGTATCCCAGCCATCTCTGGAGTCAGCCCAGGTCTGAGTTTGATTCCTTATTTTGCCAACATCACTTTGTTGCAGTGGGAGCTTGGGTGAAGTGACCACGTCAGCAGAAGCACAGGGACATGTGAATAGAGGTGCTTGGATGTCTAGTTAAAACAAAAAACCCACAACCCCTATTTCTTTAAAGCCTAAACAATAGTTTTTGTGTTCAAATTATATATACTGAATGTCCAACAAAAGTTCTGCCAATTCAAATTAAAAATGAAAGAGAAAAGGAGTAAAGAATGAGGTAAGGGAATTTGATAATACTGCTGTCTGGATATGTGTAAAGAAAAGACAAAGCACATTATCTTTTCCCCATAACAGTCAAACAGAAGAAAGGGTAACCTCAAAAGCTGTCATTGTAAAATCATTTTAAAATGAAAAAGGTTGATATCCAAATTGACAAACTCAAACAAATTATTTTACTATTGTGTTAGCTTTTAAAATTATATTCTACTTAACTATTTTCTAAGCCAAGGATGAATTTCCATTTCTTACATTTTATCTTTTTGTCAATAAAATAACATAATCTATTGTTAGTGAGGTGATGTACAAAAGATTTTTATTTTCTGGTTTGTGCACAAGTTGTACTACAGGCTATTTGGAGCCTATTGTATCCACTGACTTAACACTGAATGGAATGTTATAAAAATCTATGCTTACTATATTGTATTGTTGCTGCTTGTGCATTTGGAAGACACTTCCTCATATGAGGGACAGTTCAGTCCAAGGCATCATAGATTTCAAGGCACTAGGGTTATTTGCTAGTAAAAGAGGATGAGGTCATTCAATCTGGAATGAGAAAATAAATTGTATGAATCTTGGTCTGCCTTCTTTGATATTTATCTAATATTTAGTAAGTGGATTGCTTTTGGGATAATTTATTTTGCTCTTGCTAGTATTATTTTTGATTGTTCTGTCTGGACTCCAGATATACAGTCTTTGGTTTCTGTGCATGGCAAGATTTTAATAAAACACATTTCTTATGACTCCAGCAAGACCAGAGTACTTAGATATCACTAAGCTCTGAGATTTAACAGAAAAGCCAGAGTGTAAAATAAATAAGGAAATCTGCTCATCACCTAAGCATTCTGATTCTTAATGGTCTCTGAACTAGTTAGAGTAAGATGAAATTATAACTTTAGTCTATTCGGAATTCATTTGTGAATTTAGACTTGTGTTCCCCACCCCTACCTTTTTTCTTGCTTTAAACTAACTTGGTTTATCTAAGATGTCCTATGTTACAGGTTATCATTATCCCATATAGGCTCATAAAATCCACTTCACTAGTTTTTATTGTATTATAATGCCTTTCCCATCTTTAATGCTACAGAAGAAGGTGATTATCTCAAGGTAATCACCTTTTGCTCCATATTGCAAACTTAAGCATAGTGTTGTCCATGAAACACTCCATTAAATGTCCCTGTTGCATTTTCGTCTTAATTTTATCCACCTTCTGGGAAAAAAAGACAACTGAAATATCATTCTTGAATGTCTAAACAATTTCATATTTTCTCATGTTTGTATACTCAGGTAGATTTTGTAATTCTTATATTCTGTAGTGTTTTTCCCTTGATATTTCTTTTCTTGTGGGAAAAGTTCATGAGTAACCAGTTTTTACTGCATTTGCTTTTATAGAATCTGTCTGTCCAACACGAATTCCTGTGGCAGCTCGCGATGAGAAGGGTTTTGATATTCTTTTAGGTTTAGGTGTAAAGAAAAAGGTTAAGAAAAGAATTCAGCTCTCACCAACAAAGATAAAAGGATATGAAATAACATCAAAAGTTGATCTATCAGAATTTACAAGGTAAACATTATATATTAATACAACTTAAAAATTGTATACACACACACACATATACATACACACTGTGTGTGTGTGTATATATATTTGCAGAGGTGCTGAGAATTCTTTAAACTGATGCATGTTCTTTTCTTTCTAGCAATGTTTTCCCAGAAGGTCTTCCTCCATCCTATGTATTTGTTTCTACTCAGAGATTTAAAGTCAAGAAAGTGTGGGATTTATGGAGAATATTAACCATTGATGGAAAACCACAAATAGCAGTTACCTTAAATGGTGTGGACAAAACATTATCATTTACAACAACCAGTGTAATTAATGGCTCACAAGTGGCCACCTTCACTGACCCTCAAGTTAAGGTAAAGAGCCCAGGTGTGATTATGGTGTTCATAATCATGAGGAAACATCATTAGGATTGTGTGTGTTGGGTGAGGATTGTAGTTTTAACATGGGTAAAAGATGTTGACTTCATATTTTAAAATTTTGTTATTTATGAAACACCACCAAAGAGGAAGGAAATTTGTTTCTAAATCAGTATGAGGACAAAGAGTGGGGGAAATTAGCATATTTCATATTCCTATTACTGGGTGTCAAGAACATTTAAAGATAATAACCATCCAGTGAAGAAGCTATCACTGCCATTTTGTAGACAAAAACAAACACAAAACAAAAACCAAAAACAACAACAACAACAACAACAACAAAAAGCAATGTTCAAGGTTAAGTGTGCCCTCAAAGAAAAACAGCTACTTTGTGGTTTAGATATGCACTCCTGTGAGACAATGCAATAAGGTTCAGAGATGCAAATGATCAGATTATGAGAGTTTTAACCCAATCAGTGGATTAGTCCACTGACATTGATTAGCTGAGTAGAAACTGTAGGCAGTTAAGGTGTACTGGAAGAAGTAGGTCACTGGGGGCATGCCTTTAAGGTTTATTTTTTCTTCATGGTACGTGAAGCTCTCTCTCTGCTTCCTGATTGCCTTGTTCTGAGCTGTTTCCCTTGGCTGTACCCTTCTGCCATGATGTTCTGCCTCACCTTGGGACCAGAGATATGGGGTCAGCCATCTGTGGACTGAAACCTATGAAATCATGAGCCCCAAAATAAACTTTCCCTCCTTTACATTGTTCTTGTCAGGTCTTTGGTCACAGTGATGAAAATGATGACTAAAACAACTAATCAAGAATTGAATTTAAATATGGTCAATTTCAAAGTCCATGTTGGACTGTTTTATATTGACATGTCCTATGAGTTGATGAGTATAGAATTTATTTAAATCAGGAGTACATTTTATTTCACCCAAAGGAATATATATTTAATAAATGAAAAATGTTTATTTTCTAAGTCATGTGTTCATAATACAGATGCAATGATAAAAACAATTAAGTTTTGCTCATTATTATAATTATGATAGCCTAAAGGTATATTATACAATTTAGGAAATGTACTTGGTTACATATGAATATTTTACATTTGGACAATTTTTTTCATTCAATTACTATATTAAATTTAAAATTGTGGTCTGCTATCCTTATTAAAACCAAGGTGCTAGGTTCTTTATAAAAAAAACCAAACACCTAATAATCTGTCTATCCAACACAAATTCCTGTGGAGGAATTTAAGGAGGTTTTTTATAATGGAATATTCAAATAACTTGTATTAAATTGAAGTATAAAGCACAAAATATGGGAAAATCATGGTAAATGACATGGTTTGGGGATCGGATCTTGGAAAATATATAGGATTTTCGATGGGGAGAGATGTAAGAGAACATTGAGACAATGGTTTGGCATTGACTAGCCAAATGCAGTTTTTATTTAGAGAATGGCATGTTTTGAGTATGAAATGCATGAATGAAAAGGCTAGCAAGGTATGAGCCCAATTTGTGAGGATCCTGGAAAGCCATACAATTTGGTTTGGATTTTATTCAGTGAACAACAGGGTTTCATGCAAAGATCTTGATCATAGGTGTATCATGATCAAAGCAATCCTTCTTATTTGTTCCCCAAACAGTGGTTTCAGCTTTATCCTGCAATTATGTCAGATACTTGGAATAAAGAAATGGATAATATGGAGCTTCTCCTCTAACAAAACTTTACTGAGAGAAATTAATTATAGTGGAGATATGCAGGGTGGCTTGGAGAGGGAAAAGTCAGAAATATGTTAGAAAACAAAGCAAGATAACCACAAGCCTGAATTATGGCAGTAAGAATGAAAATAGAGAGGTGAATTTGAGTAACTTTTAAGAGAAATAGTTGATATAATTGTATCTGGTGAGTTTTTACAACTCAGAGAAAGAAACTTATGTTTTAGAAAAGGGGAGTATTATCATGCAAGGGAAATATTTGGGAGTGGAAGGAAGTTTGGGGGACAGTTCATTTTGTAACACACTCCATTAAACTGGTTGTGAGATACCCTTGCAAGATTATTCTACTGAGTATTAGAATTTTGGGACCTATGTGTAGGAGAGAGGTCCATGCTATTGATGTAGATATTGGAGTTACTACATAGAAATAATGTTTGGCTTGTAGGTATGGATGAGGTAGTCAGAGGGCAGAATGAAAGACGTCAAGGACAGATCTGTGAGGGATGCTCTCTTTATAGGGCAGGTTGAGGAAGAAGAACCCTCAAAGTGATAAAGAATGAACAACAGAAGAGAATGAAATGAAGATGGCCAAGATTCTTTCAGTTATGGAAATTGTGTGAGAATATCGAGAGAATTGGACTGTGGGATGAGGAATGAGAGGAGCCATTTGGATTCAGAGATCAAGATCTCATTAGTGACTAGGAGGGAGTTGTTTTAGTAAATAGTTTGGCAAAACTACATTGGTATATGTAAGAGGAACTCAGGTAGGGATTAACAGAAGAGTTGGTGGATAGCATATGGGGTCCAGCTTAGAGCAGGGTGAATTAGTATATAACACAGAAAATCAGCATGATTCAGATTTTCTTAACAATGGTTCTAAGTAGGAAGACAGTGAAAAATAGTTAAGGGTTTTATTTGTGAATCTTTCATATTTTCTTCTCATAGACATTATTTGATGAAGGCTGGCATCAAATTCGTCTCTTAGTAACAGAGCAAGATGTAACTCTGTTTATTGATGATCAACAAATTGACAATAAGCCCTTACATCCATCTTTAGGGATCTTCATCAGTGGGCAAACCCAAATTGGAAAATACTCTGGGAAAGAAGAAACTGTTCAGGTAGTAGAATAATGATTTATTTTTTACATTGGATAAAATCGAATTTCTGCTGTCCTCTCTCTTTTAGTATTTACTAAATCAACCTTATTAGGCTTAATCGTGAATTCTCTTTAAATTTTAATTGAAATATGGTCAGTTCATGGGTGAAATTTTGTAATCTTATGTGTGTATTCAAATGCAAAATTTGACTTTATCTATTTTATAAAAAAAAATCTTAGAAAAATAATCCCCTGGGCAGAGGGTAGAATTCTAGGAAACATTAATTTCATATTTCCCAGGAGAATCAGTTCAAATAATGGATTTGGAATGGGGAATATGTTTAGAGCTGTAAGTGAGAACTATAAAAATTTCTTTGCAGCTGTGAAGATAAAATTAGATTAATGCATGTCAGAGTCCTTCACAAACAAAACTATTGCTTAAAAATAAAGTGATTGTGTTTTGTGCAGTTCATACTTTTAAAAGTTTTATTTTTACTTTTATGACAGCTATTTAGAGTCTGTGTTTGGGTTAATAGTTTGTAGTTAAAAAACATTTCTGGGAAAATCTTTAATTGGTAAGAGTATTTCCCTCCCGCTTTGTTTCTGTTACAGGAAGACTCTGTCATTTTCAAATGTGTGGTTACTCACACGGTCACTATGTATTAATGCTTTAAGTCAAATTGTAGTAAATATTTACACAGTAACTGGTGCATTCCATCCCAGCAACTAAGTCTATAAACCCAGAATGGCCTCTGGAGGTTACCCCCATATGATCTGGAATGTTGTAGAGATTTAGGGTAAATACAAAAAAACCTGGGAAAGGTTTTATGTACCTTAGGAAATGCTTTCTAGACTAGCTCTCAATACAGGGATATTAAAAAAGCTTCACTGGGTTCCTGAAGAAAATCAGATTTGTTCTTGGTGCTTAGGGTGCATCACATCTTTATAATATATGTTGGGTATTCAACCTCTGTGTTTTTATTGTTTTAGCTAAATGCTGGGATCTAAACCTTATCAAATGACCAACCATAGCAGCAGTTTCTACATATTTGAGTTGCTTTTATAAAACAGTTAGCTCATGCCTCAACTTTAACTATACTGTATTTATATTCCTAGTTTGATGTCCAAAAGTTGCGAATCTACTGTGACCCAGAGCAGAACAACCGCGAGACAGCATGTGAGATTCCTGGATTTGTAAGTGAGATGGGTTATTTTTTTTCTCCCAAGTATTGCTTTAGTACTTTCAAAACAATAAATGAAAAGTAGATAATGCCCAAGACTTATTTAATATGTAGAGTTAATCTTTATTATCAAAGTTAAATAGAGCGATACATAGTTTGAAGTTCATAACTGAAATAAATTATGTCACTGTGCAAGTATGAATGAAAGCACCAGTAAGTGATTTCTCCCCACATCACTTTTTGCTGTGATTATTCCAGTGCTCAGATGAAGCAGGAATACACCTGCTCCAAAGACTTAGATTGCTTCGTATAAATATCAGTATGTAAAGAACATTTTTCTACTTAATTAAACATAAGACAAAACATTCCAAACTATATATTTCTGATGAGTAGGAAATAAATTTCCTGTTCACTGTTCACTAGCACATTTTCTGAACTTAAAATGAATGATTTTATTTTTGTTGTTGCTACCTCAGTAAGGTTTTCTTATGGTTCTAGAATTTAAGGGAATTTCCTATTTATTTAGTCATTTTTATTAATGGGATAGAAAGGAAAATGATTATAAGCTAAAATTTTATAGTGTATGACTATGTGTGTGTGTGTGTGTTTGTGTGTGTGTGTGTGTGTGTGTGTGTGTAATCCATCCCTTTTTGCCCTAAGCAAAAAATTGTGAATTATTTTAATGGAAAAACATACAATGCTGGACAACTTTTTGACAATGTGGATTCTCAGTGAGGTTTGGACTGTCCATGATTCTTTTAATTTGCATAGTTGTGCTATCATCATTTATTTCTCTAACAAACCATGTAATGAGACCACATGTAAAGAAGAGTTGAGAACATCGAGCAGCACATTTAAAGAATCTGTAATAAAATCAAATATGGAACTTTTGAGAAATGACTCATTCTTAGGTTTTCTAGATTGTTAATCATTTAAATACTATGGTTTTATTTTTAGATACTTATAAATTGGAATATAAATCTTTCCTAAAATATTTGAAGTCATGGCATTTGAGAGTTTATTGTATGTACTGATCTCATTTGTTACTGTTTGGAAAGATTATATTAACCTATTTAAAATTGTGTGATACTCAGCAATAAGTTGAGAAGCTCTTCTACAGTAAAATGAATAAAATTTTAATGGAAGCAGTTATCTTTGGCTTCTTTTTTCTGTGTTTTAAATAATTTCCAAATAGTTCAGTACAGCTTCTGAATATCACCTTAAGGTATTTTTGTTCTTGCATGGTCATTATATCAAGAAGCTTCAGTGCTTTGATTTTTGCCTTCCACTCTTCGCCTATATTTTCTTTTATCTTTTATAGATGTAGCAGAAATCTGTGTAGATAAGTACATTTTAGGATAGGTGTAAGCAAATGTTTTATTTCTAGATTTGACACTTTGTATTGGGACAACAAACTACTTGTAAATGACAAAGATAATTTAGAAATATAATTAAAAACCTATTTTAAAACACATGTGTTGTTTTTCTTTCAGAATGGAGAGGTAGGCTTGGATATTTTTATTCTCCTTAAGGTAATGTTTGTGTTGTGGGACCAGTTAGCTTCCTCTCTTCAGCTGTAAGTATATTAGACAAATAGAACCCATTTTATATAATTTGAATGTACTTCTTATTGATTTTTTTTTTGTGATTTGGAATTTCTTAGCAGATTGAGCTAAATAAAATTGGAAAGTAACTATATCTTTACCATTTTACATATGGATACATACACATACATATGTGTGTATATATAGATAAAGCTAGTTCTATCTATATCAATATTTAGCTGTCTATCTTTCTTTCCACATTTGTTGATTAGTTCCATTTTTGTCTTTGCAGTGCCTTAATGGTCCAAGTGACGTAGGTTCGACTCCAGCTCCCTGTATCTGTCCTCCAGGAAATCCAGGACTACAAGGTCCCAAAGTGAGTAATACAAACCATACTGTTTTTTGTTAAAAGTCAGTATTGCTCAAAGGCAGAAATTCTTAATTGCCATTGACCCCATTGTGAAGTTCCCTCCTACTGCCTTACAACCGTTAAAAACCTGAGTATTAGTGTGGTTTCTAAAAAGTGTATTCTATTTGGAACTGTGCTTTTAAACTAAAACTGATCCCACTGATACACATTAAATTGAGGTCCCATTATTGTTTTTTTTTCCCCAAATACTGCTATTAGAGCCCAAGAATGATATTTCCTTCCAACCTGGTTAAAAAATAAATGAATAAAAAACAGCTGTTAAGTTATGCTTTAAATTTTTAAATATCTAATTTGCCAAAATGATTTTCAGATGAAAAACATGAAGTAAAAATGTTTGACTTGACTTTAATATTGTTTAATGTCTAATTCTATAAATGGAGGCATATGTATTTATTTCATTTAAACATATAATAATTACTTTTGGAGAATATTTTTTGGTCCAATTGTATTTAATTATTTACATACATATGTATATATACATATTCATATCCTTGGAGCTATCTTGTGCAGGGTTGTAGCTAGTTACTTTTTACATAACAGTATGTTCTGATATATTCTTATGCTATTAAATATGAATGCTACTAAGTTGATGCTTATTATAGTATCACTTAGATATATGCTAAGATCCTAAGAAATTGTTTGTCCACTCTAGATAAATTTTGTGCATTAAATATTATTTAAAAATACTCCTTACATAACATAAAAATGATATCTAACTTCAAAGAAGGTCTAATTCTGTAGACAAAAAGAATGTTTGTGTGTTTTGACACCTTCTTATTTGAAGTGACCATACTAATTTTTGTTTAATATGAATTGCAAGTTTCATTTGGACTGAATTTTAAGATTGTTTTAATACAATGGCTAGTTTTCAAACTACTGATGTAATTTATTCCTAAAAAATTATTGGTTCATATTAATTAAAAGAATGGTAGATTTCATTGTGGCATATTCATACATTCATATAAAAATGCAATCCATTTCACTACCCAGCATGTGATCTAAAATCATTAATTTCTTCCCATCTTTTTTTTTTTGCATGTTTTTCCATCATTTCCATGCCTATCTGTTGAACTTAAGAAATAAATGTAGTTTAAGAAATGTATGTTCAGTAACTCATTCCAAATAAACATCTATTTGACTTGGAATTTGAGTGCAGTACATACCATGTAAATCGTTTATTATTGTCATTTATTTTTAGATTGCATTTAGGAAAGTTAACCCAAGTGTTCATTAGTTAAAGTTACTACATATTGTTTAGGATGCTGTGATGTAAGAGAGAAACACCTACACTTCTTAGAAGAAGACACTTTGTAAAACAGATGAGTATGTTGTACCAAAAGATTCTTTATTAAAAATATTTATATAACTATTCACCTTGGAATATTATACATAAAAATAGTTTGATTCTCCAGAGATATAATGGGGAAATCATAAACCTTTCAATGGTCCTTTCCTGCCTCCCAGGGAGGCTCGGGCCATCTCCATGGACTGTAGGGGGCTGCCTGCCATTAGAGAGGCACTTGAAGACTCTGATGTTTTTGAATAATTAATTTCTGAACTAATAGGTACCTCTTAGTGTAACTTAATTTTATATTTTCACAGCAAATTTTTTAGCACACCATTGTTTTATCTGGTCAAGCCTTTAATTTCCAGTTTCTCCCAGTTTCACGTGTTTTTCATTTTCATTCTCTTTTGTTAGTCATGATCTATCCCCATTGCCACCTACTACTTTAAGTGAAATTGCAGTTTCCACCACTCTTGAAATTGGCGTGCCTTCTTGATCTGCTTTCCATTTTGTTCAGGAAATCTGGCAGGATTACAGGAACGAACACACATTCACATTCATTCTCTCTCTCTCTCTCTCTCTCTCTCTCTCTCTCTCTCTCTCTCTCTTCCATCCTTTTAGGGCTTTTTTTCCCTGGAGGTTGTTCCTTACCCAGGTCAGGGACCTATATGTGAAAAACAGAAACCCCTAGCAACATTTGAGTTGCACATCTTTTAGAGATTTTTTAGCTTTCAATATCAATCTGGTTTTTATTAGTTCAACAGAGCCCAAACTAAAGCAGGTAAGATGATTGTATTTTAGAGTTCACTGAAGCTTATTGGCTATTTTTGTTAGATGGTTTCTGGAAAATTTTGCCCGTGTCCATCAAACAAAGTCACCTGTGAGAAGCAGATCTAGCCTTTCTATTAGCCAGAAATAGGGTTCTGGGAGCAGAGTTCATCATGAGACTGAAACAGAAGAAGAATTCCTGGGTAAATAGGAGGATAAACACCTATTTAAGATAAAGAAATTTGTCTACTTAAAGCTCTGTCAATTTCTGAAAAATATCCCAATCCTGTTGCAAAAACAGGTTCAAGTGATTATGGCACTCCACACTTATCATGGCATTATAACTTTTCATCAAGCGTCAAAAAATACACCTGTCTTTGGACATTTGGCCCATTAATTTCAAATAAAGAGAATGAGTAAATTAATGGGATAATCAATTTATCAGGATAATTCTTACACACAAGCACTTCTTTTGTTTACAGTGAAGGTTAATAAGAAGGAAATTCTCCTTGGAATTCTAGTGTTAGGCACAGTGCTTCATAGTTACGATTTTTTATTGAATGAATTATGGGATCATTGAAAAAATAAGATTCCCCCAGTCCCCCCAGTTATCCTATATGAACTGTCTCTTACTTCACAAAAGCTGAGGCATCCCCAGTATGCAAGTGACTTCCTTTCAGATGCCTGTACACGTAAATGATACTTCTTTCCCTATTCCACAGTGATAGAAACATTTGTGAAAGCAACCTCCTCACATTTGTTCTAACTTAAACGTTAAAATTCGTTCAGAAGTGGAAAGAAAGCATTTTCCCTTCTTTTCCAGGTTGGAATAATTTATTAATGACATCTTTGCTCAGAAATATCTCTTTTGCTATAGTCATCTTCCTGCTGAGGCTTTTGTTTCACCCTAATAATTCTATCAATTAGAGATTCCTTTGGACTATTGAAGTTCCAAAGTCTCTTTGAAACTTTTGGGGGCCACTGGATATCAACATTCTTATGCTAATTTTTATAGACTTGATGAATTCTTTGTAACCTGAAGAATGGATTTCTTGAGTGCCAAGGAAGGGAAAACACTGGTTGTGGAGAATGGTAAAAATCAATTTTAGTTCACATATTCCCAAGGAGGCCAGAGTGGCCTGGAGGCTTAAGGATTTTTGAGAAGAAGGCTTATAAACATGGTTAAGGGCTTTGTTTCAGATGCACAACTTGAAACATCAGCTTACTTCTGCAAGCACAACTCCATTTCTTACATTAATGGTTCATGTTTATACTTCATAAGTGGCCTTATCCAGAGATGTTTCACCTTAGTCCCTGATGGTTCCACTCCTGTCAACAACTTAAAAATCCTATGCCACAAATTCATTTCAGCATAAATAAGTATTCCTTTTCAGTGGAGCACATATTTTTAAAATTCAAAATGTGCAAATGTTTCAAGTAAACTAGAAGAAAAAGGATTGGGAAATTTAGTCACAGTTGTATAATAGTAAGTCATATGTTTAATTTAATGTATTTGGATTTTTTTTTCAAGTTAGATTTTAAAGTGGTCCATATGTCTGATCAACATATGCATTTGATCATGTGAGCAGGAATAATAGTGTTTAGGAGTATAGACTGTGGAACTGAATTGGCTGTTTTAGAATGTCATCTTTGCCACTGCTGTGTGACCTTGGCAGATTACCTAACCTCTGTGGGCCTCAGTTTCCCTAGATAGAAAAGTGAAATAATCAAAGTACCTTCTTCATAGGATTATTATGAGGGTTAGCTAATTTAATGTATGTGAATCTTTAAAGCAGTGCTCCGTATATAATAAGCAATAAACAAAGGTTAGGTGTTTGCTTTAATAGTAATAAAATAGAATTTTATTTTAATTGGTCTTCTTGCTAATCAGTTAAAGTAGTTTGGGCTTATTCTTTAAGTTTTATGGGAACAACTCTAAACCTACCTGAACTTTTGCAAATAATTCAGTGAGGGAAACAGTCAAAATTATCCATAAGATTTACCAGCAATAATACAATCTGCTAAAGAGATTAATTTCCCTCATGCTGGTGTTGATCACTGTTATGATCATAGATAGATCCGGTCTGACTGGATCTATCTTGTGGGTGATATTTTCTCTTTGATAACTTAGGTTTCATCAATGTAAATCATTGTTAATATGTTTTATACTTTTATGCAGCATAAAAGCACATGAGTGGCTTTTCTTCTTGTGCCAAAATTTATTTCAGCTCATCATAATAATGATTAAACTTTCCAAATCCTTTTGATTTCCCAGGTTTTGCTGATAGTTAATATTCTGCAATGTAAGTAGGTTGTTGACAGATTTGATTTTAAATAAATCAGTAGAATATATTTATTGAATCTCTACTTGATACCCAGCATTGCACCAAAAAAAAAAATAGAAATTATAGACCTTCTTTTCATGGAGCCTCACTCCAGAGGATAAGTGAAGATTAACGAAGGGAAAACTTTGAGAAGACACTAGGTGTGAAAAAGTGATGTGATATAAGAGCTGCCATACTATTTCAATAGGAAAAGAGAGAAAGACACCAGGAGAAAATAGTGACATGGACACTTCAATGTCAGAGAAGTTTGTCTTATTGATGCCTAAGTGGAAAAGGAGAAAAATCTTTTTTTCCAAACAGAAAGTTAAGATGGAATTTGTTGAAAGGCAGGAAGTCCACTCTGAACACGGGTCAGGACTGATGGTCCAGAGGCTGGAGGCTAGTGTGAACCTTTTCAAATAAGAGAAATTCTAAATCCCTAGAGACCCAGAAAGTTGCTCCCTAACACACAGCCAGAACTGCAAGTCCTTGAATTAGAATTACAAATTGTCTTTCCTCCTGGATTTATAGCTCTTCTCTCTCTGTTTGAAAAATGACATTTCCTTCTTCTCAGCCTTTCCTCTTGCTAAGCCTTTGGAAGGGCCACTGGTAAGTGAATAGCCCATCACTTCTTTATGGGTTCCTGAACAGAGTTCACATAGTTCTTTCCATCTTTCCTGTTATGTTTCAGGAACATGCCTCCGTAGCCAGGAGTCCAAAGTAGTTTTCAGATCAGCAAATTTGGCTCTATAAAAGTAGTCTTAATTGCCAGAGTCCTGTGTGGATGATTTCTTGATTCAAAACAAGGAAGAGTTATTATTGAATGGAATTAGTTCCCTTTGCAGAAGTTTACTGATACTGATGGTGGAGACTTCATATTTTCCAGAAGAATGTCCCATATGAACTTCATGGACTCAGAGATGGACGAATATTACTTTTGAAGTATTTCTTAGAATTAAGTTAGAAAGCACCTTCGCCTCACAAGAAAAATGGTTCTTTAATGCTATATTTTATGGTTGGTGACCATCTGGATGATCAGTACTGGCATAGGACAACATGCTGGAATTCTATAGAATGTGCTGGCCTCACTACTATGTGGAAAGCACAGTGTTCTTGCAAGATCTCACGTTTGTGAGGACAAAGGCATTTCTTAATTTCTTAGGCATTACATGCACTGAAGGACTATGAAGATTGGGACTGAGTTGTCTGACCAGGGACCTGTTTTCATGAACATATTCAAAGTTTGGAGTTTTGACATTTTTCTCAAATGCGATATAGGCAGAGTATTACATTTGACACCATTGAAAGAAATGATTGCCATGAAGTTTTAACCTGAGTCCCATGTGTGAGATCACATGGATTTGGACATTTTTAAAAGTGTCCAAATATAGCACAGTGCTTTATCACTGTGCTATATTTTCAGCCCTTTTTAAAATTTTGAGACAGGGTGTCACTAAGTTGCCTATACTGGCCTTGAACTTGCAATCCTCCTGCCTCAGCCTCCTGAATATTATTGATTACAGGCATGTGCTAGGCTTGTGGACTGTTCTTTAAGTAATTATTTTATGAACTGAATTATTACATTATAGGGTATTGGTACCTGGGGTGCAACATTCATAACAGAGTTAAATCTATAGACTCAAGAGTCAAATATTGCCATCATGAAAAACATTTGCTGTGGCACTGTGCAATCTGTTCAAAATCCAAAAAAATGTATCCTCCCATAAATGCTGACATTTTGCTCCAGGAAAAAAAACACTTCACTTGTTATACCCAGCATTCTCACAGAAAAAAATCATTTAGTTTTATATAATTAAGGCATTATTTTTTTAAGGTAGGTATTTAAAATGAAGCATAATTTTCTTAAGTCTGTTTTGAAATGTCTTCTTTAAAAAAAATCTACAAAATGCTTCAAATAATAGAACTGATTTCAAACCTTTATTGGCCCTGACCGCAGCAATGTGGTTGGATGTTTTGTATTGAGAAACTTTTTTTTCCCCCTGTCTAGGGTGACCCTGGACTGCCTGGGAACCCTGGCTACCCTGGACAACCTGGTCAAGATGGTAAGCCTGTGAGTACTGAAAGCTTAGTCATCTCCAGTACTGGGATTATAGTGTCAAAGTAAAAATTGCACTGGGCACAGCTAAACAGGCAAAGATGACTTTATTCAAGACTACTGCCCTCGGGGAGAGAGAACTGGCTCAATGCTGCTGAAACAAAGGGAGAGAAAGGTTTTAAATGCTGGGCACGCTAGTAGAAAAGTACTGGAGGACTTAGAAGGAAGGTAGGGTTTTGAGATGGAACACATTGAGTTATTCCTCAATTTTTCAAATATTTTCTTCCGTGATTAGCCCACCTGTATTTGCTTCTATTTGGCACCCATTAAAGATAGTCTCCAGCTTTGCAAGATCAGGATGCTGTCTTCCCTGAGGATGATATAAAAGGATGGCAAGGAGGTCCTTGAGAAGCCATTCCTGGGTTGTAAAACTAGTAAGAAGCTATTAAAAAATTTGTATTTCAAAGAGAGGCCTAATGTTGAATCATTTTCTAAAGTAAACGCTCTAAGAAAAGCAAAGTCAGGTAGAATAAGAAAGATAGCGACCTAAATTTAGTAAAAGTGAGGGAAACATTACAGTCAGCTTGGCCAAAGAAGCAGCATTGTTGACACAGGGTTGCCTGGGGATCAGATTTGATGAGGTCCCTTAGAGTGCTTTGTAGCTACAGATGGCGTGTGAGTGCAGGCCTAGAGCAGGCATTGTGCTCCTCTGTGCTGTTCTAGACACTTCATGATCCTACTTCATGATTATATACATCTTTACTACAATGAAAAATATTGACCAGCGACTTTCAGTATCATAATAAATCCTTTTGTCTTTTCTTTTTATGTATATGGAAGTTTTCAACTTAAAAGTCTTTTCAAAGGTGATGTCATTTTTTAAGAATATATGTGCTGAAGCACACTTATAATCTGATTAAATAAATAATATTATCTAAGGTTCTAAGAGAAATTTAGGGACACAGAAAGGGAATGTAAATCAACTTTAAAGCATTTTATGCAATATTTATAGATAAGTCATCTGTCATCATGTTTGCAGAAGTAAATAAATATCAAGAATTAGCTTTGGAATATTAAAAAAATAGTTTTCACCAAGAAATATTTCTCCTGAGAGACTTTATCATGAAGGAGTAGGAAGGTTTGTACTGTGAGTCAATAGTTTTCAGGAAGTCAGACTTGTTGGCAAATTCCTGCAATCCTAGTGGCTTGAGCGGCTAAGGCAGTAGGATTGCAAGTTCAGAGCCAGCCTCAGCAACTTAGTGACACCATAAGCAACTTAGTGAGACTCTGTCCCAAAATAAAAAAGGCTGGGGTTATGACTCAGTGGTTAAGCACCCCTGAGTTCAAACCTTGGTATAAAAATGGTGATGATGATGATGATTATGGTGGTGGTGGTGGTGATGATGTTGTTCAATGAAAGAGCCAGAGGCCTAATGTTGAATCATTAAGACTCCTATCATCAGGAGAGTTACTTAAGTCCCTGAGAAAAGTTTGCTAATGGATGTAATACAAAAACAAAACAAGACAAACAAGAACAACAACATAAAAGAAACTAGGCAACCTTTGAAACTGTGTTAATATACTGAGGCCTTTGACCCCAGCATTGCATGGGAAGGGCTTAGATAGTAGGTGAGCCCCTCTAGAGAGGTAATAGGTAATAAAGGAATGGTCATTGGGAATTGCTGTATGATTGGAACTGTGCTGCTCAGCTGACCATGGGGGTTTATTCTGAGTGGGATAGCAACCAGGGATTTTGAGAAAGGAAGTGACTTAACTGGGTTTACAACTTCAAAGGATAAATATGAATATTACCTGGAGAGTAGCTTACATGGGGGCAGGTGTGAAAAGAAGGAGATCATGTGGAGATTATTTCATGATTCTAAGTAAGAGGTAAGAGTAGTGGACTAGAATGATGTGGCAGAAGAGAGAAGTAGTCAGATTCTGACTTATCTTCTCATTTAAAGCTGACCACAGTGCTAACAAATTTATATGTTGGGTATGTAAGAAAGAGAGATGTTGAAGAAGTCACAAAGGATTTTAGTTTGAGTAACTGGGTGAATTGTGGTGTCATATACTGCCCTGGGCAAGGCTGTGGGAGATGTCACTTTTGTGGGGAGTATCAAGAATGCATTTTTGGACAATTGGAGAATTCAGTTGTGAGTCACCATATAGCTGTATTCAAGGTCATGGGAGTAAATGAAATCATTTAGGGAATGAATACAGACAGAGAAGAGAAGGGGGCAGAGGATCAGCAAGAGGAAGAGGAGCAAGAGGCAGAGGATCAGCCAAGGAAATAGGAAGCACTGATCAGTGATGCAGGAGGAAAACCAGGAGAGTATGGCATCCCGAGGGGTGGAAGCATTTCAAGAAGGGAGTGTTCAGTTGTGTCATTGTTGTCAAGAGGTCAGAAAAGTTGAGGCTTATGACTAGACTGTTGAATTTGCTATATGGACGTTACTAAAGGCCTTGATAACGGTGCTTCTGGTAGGATGGTACAAAAGCTGGATTGGAAGAGATACATGGGAAGAGTAGGAGATGAAATGGTAACTGAGTATAAATGTTTCTCCTAAGGATATAAAGGGGAGCAGAGAAATGGAGCAGTAGGATAGGGATGACGTAGGATGAGAGTAGATTTTTCTTAAAGGTGGGGGTGTTGTAGCAGTTTTATCATGATGAAAATGAGGTAAAAAGAAAAAAAATGGGAGATTTGAGAGTCATTTGTAGGAAAATGAGTAGATAAGAGGGCATTAGCTTCAGTTAGGAAACAAAAGTTTCACCTTGATAAGAGGATGGACAGTTAAACTTTTATGTGAGTACAGAAACAGCTAGAATGTGTATTTTGGGGAAGAGGTTGGTACAGAAACAGCTAGAATATGTATTTTGGAGAAATACATGGAATATGTATTTTGAGAAAAATTATCAGACTACTTATATTGAATTCAACTCAACTAAAATAGAGACATAATATCTTTGCTTTTGGATTTATCTTTAGCTTCTGTTTTGTGGCAACATTGCCTTGGAATTTCTGTTTTAATCCAACCTTTATTCACTTTAACCTAAGCTGTCTTTATGATCTTGTGCATTTTCTCACTGCAGTTCCTAGTCCCACTAAGATACTTCCCTGAGCTCCTATGTGAGTTCTGCCCTAATCACACTTGGATAAGATGATTTTTATAAATATGAGCCCTCCTGCCTGGAGATCCCTTTTCTGGGCTCTACTATTTTTATGACTGGCAGCTGAGGTGATGAACCAAATCCAAAACAGGTAGACTTTACAGGCTGGCATGTCACCTGTCAACACTGCATAATGTTGTGGCACATCCCTGACAGCACTGGTAAATTATTTCAGCTTTTGTTTTTTTCAATGATAAGAAAATCCTAGGCAATGTTGGGAGGTGAGTGCTGATCAGGCCCTCCATGGGTTATCAGCCCTGTTTGCTTTAAAAAATTTTTTAAAAATCTTTCCTTGAATAAAGTGCTAGGGATTGATTACAGTTAGCTTCATATAATAAACTTGGATATTACTCTATTATCTGACTTAAGATATAGAAGACTTATTTCCTCATCTAATTAAGCACCTGTGTAGATATGTTTTTTTTTAATTTTTTTATTGTTGGTTGTTCAAAACATTACAAATTTCTTGACATATCATAGTCCACACTTTGATTCAAGTGGGTTATGAACTCCCACCTTCACCCCATACACAGATTGCAGAATCATATCAGTTACACATCCATTGATTTACATATTGCCATACTAGTGTCTGTTGTGCTCCGCTGCCTTTCCCATCCTCCACCATCCCCCCTCCCCTCCTCTCCCCTCCCCTGTGGCATTTAGATATGTTTTGAATATATGTATATGTGTATAATTTTATGTTAGGTATATCTGTGCAGTATCTGATAGTAAAATCAAAGAATAAAAGCAAGCAACTGTGGTGAGCAGAATCATGGTCCCCTACATGTTCACATCTCAAATTTCAATACTCATGAAAATGTTATCTTTTATTCAGAAGATGTTGTGCAGATGTGATTAATTTAAGGATATTGAGATGGAATCATTTTGAACTATCTGGATGTTCCAGTGTAGTCACAGGTTCTTTAAAGAAGAAAGCAGGAGTGTGAATCAGGGAAGGGTTTTTTGATGATGATGATGATGCAAGCAGAGATCAGAGTGAGGTGCCCAGGAGACAAGAGATCAAAAGAAGCTTCTAGACTCTGGAAAAGAGACGGGATGGATTCTCCCTTAGAGCTTTCAGAAGGAGCAAAGCCCTACTGACACCTTGATTTAGCTCCATAAGACCTCTTTCAGACTTCTGACCTCTAGAACTATAAAATAATAAGTTTGTGTTGTTTAAAGCCACTATGTTTGGGTTAATTTGTTATAGCACCAATAAGAAACTGAGATATCAACCCAAATCCTGTTTTCCCCTAAGTCTGACTTTTTTCTTAAATTCTCCCCACCCCTCCCCCATTTATCTCTCTCTGCAGGAGATGTGAGATTGGGTGGCCAAGCAGGAAGAGAAAGCAAGCCTGTGAGCCAGAACAGCTGAGGGTCATTAGAGTGTGTCCAGGGCCAGCAACCAGCTGGAGTGGGAAGGTGTGGGTGGAGCCTCTGGCTGGCTCTTGAAGCCATCTGGACCAAGGAAACTTGGATGGAACAGTTTGCAGGGAATTCTGCTTTGTTTGGATTTGGTTCTGTACAATCCCCCTCAATAAGCAATTTGAATCTCTTTCACACATTATAACCAAGCCAAGTCAATTGGAGCTTTAAATAGTAAATTATTCCACTCTGGAGAAATACTAATTTTCATAAGGAAAGTGCATTCAACCAAAATTTTAAGAGTGATTTCCAATCCTTCCATTTCTTTCTCACTTCTCTTTCAATCCACTAACTTCTATAGTGCAGTGTCTGAGCATATTAATATTTATTCTTTTACTATGACAAAAGGAAAGATGGGGAAAATATTTACATAGTCTGCTAGGTAATTCAGGGTGGTACTACTAAAGACATTATAC